AATCTAAAAAAAAACTCTTTTTTTCTTCTCATTTATTCTTCAACTATTTAAAGCTGATTTTACATTCAATGTAAAAGTGCTATAGAAATAAAGATGACTTGACTTACTGTGGCTATGGCCTGCCCACCAACAAAACCACCTGACTGACATACTATATAAACCAACAGTCATAGCTGTGACATGCAAAAGTGCAAAGATTCTATTGATTTTATGCTACCACAGTGATAAATAGCCAAGTGTTTATCTGTTTAAATAATGGTGCATCAGTCTTGGGGTTACACCATTATTGTAAAGGAGAAAAAATAACTTGTTGATTGGCACTTCCATGGATGTGGAACAGTTTAAGTGTTCAGATTTGTCTTTTTCTACCTTACAGTGTTTTTTTTATTTGGACAAAACTGACAGTAGTAACAACACACTGTGTCTTGTTTTGGGGGGTTTATTGTGTCCCCCTTGTTCTTTTATTTTCTCACTGTTGGCACGGTGCAATAATAGCGCTTCCTATGTTAGAGTGTCAACAAGTAATCGCTACTAGATTGCTTATCACACTTTCATATGTGTAGCATTTGCATAATATTAAAATATTTTTAATATTATTTATTTGCCATTTATACATATATCAGAATGATGGACAATGCAACACCCCAATGTCCAATCAGAAAGGATTTAGCAGTACGATATGCCTCAAATGGATATGCATTCTGAGGATTAGATGAGTCTAAAAAGCCATTGTGAGTTTTTTCACACTGTATCTCAAGCACTGATCTAATCTCCAGTAATATCCTCTGTTAAAAACATATCCACTACACAGAATGTTTTATTTTTTCATACATATTGTATGTTTCTGAAGAAAATCCAGCTTCCACACTTTGGTTTTCACTCTGTCAACTGTTGCTGTCACTTCTTCTACACACTCTTTGTGAAGTAACAGTGACTGTGTTTCTCTAGAGCTGAGGATTTCCAACTGAGCCACGGCTCTGGCCAAATTGCCTGGCACTGAGTTCTGCCCTGCATCAATGCCAGACTGGCCAGAGATACCACAGCTGGGGTGGATGAAGAGCCCAGTCAACTATTACAAAATTACTGTCACTGTTAGTCATGAATCTCTGCCTAATTCTCTAAAAGTCTGTACTCGTAATATTTTCTGCAGTTTCTGTGCCTTTATCTCTCATTTTAATGCTCAAGAAAAGATAAAGTTTCGACAATAAAGCTTTTTTACTACTTTTAACTTTTGCATTTAACTTCCATACCCTTTGTTCTATCCCTTCCATCATTGATATTCTAAATCTACCAAGAGTTCACAACAGTTTGGTCATTTCGAATTGAAGGAGTTTAGTTAAAAACTTAAAATACCTCTGAAGTATCTTTCTTCACATTATGTTTCTCCTGAAAATACTCCAGCAACTCAGATAATATTCAGCATCTCTACGTTTCAGTGCTGGATGATTTGAGTTCTATCCATAGCTTTATGTTCTAAAATAGATTGCCATGACCTCAAAGGACATCTTTTTTTCATTTGTTTCTTAGACAAATTAAAGTGGTAACATTTAGACTTCAGCTAAAGTCCCCTTATGGTCAGATTTCTGTTGTATTCTTGAACAAAACAACAGCATCTCTATGCCTCAGACTATCTAAACTATCATTAATATCTTCGCACACTGAGTAATCTACACTACATTTCAAATTCATTTTGTAGCTGTAAACTGTTTGAGAATGGTTGTACTATTTCTTCATTTTTAGTTCCTTTAAAGATTTTTAGGGAAACAAGCATGCAAGACAAAGTGATAACTAAGTGAAACATGACTGGAATGATCATGAAGTCTCTTGAGGTTTGAAAAATCAACCTCTGAGCTGTAACTCTCAGTACAGACCAACGCACTGTATTGAAAACATCTCCAAAATGTTGGAGTGTGTTCACAAGAACCGATAATGTAGACACAAATGCGTTATTAGTAAAACCTATTACATTAATAATTTTTAAATCACAGATAAATGCAATGCGCACTCGACAAGATGAGAAAATGTGAATAGTTCCATACATCTCAACAGTCAGTCACAGGATGTGACACACTCTTGTTGTACTATTATACGAGATGCTTTGCATCACTGGGCTCATCTAAAAACCTCATGTTATACCACAGATACGTAGACATGCTTTAAAGGAATGAGAACATAAAAGCAAAACACTTTACCATGGCATCCTTCCACGAACCACAAGCGCTGGTCATTGGAATGAGCCATGTGTGTTTACCTCTGCCCTCCTGCCCACTGTTCAAAAGGCATAATCCAACCCGTCACAGAATACTCAGAACTATTAATAGCAGCTAATTGATGCCAAAGACGACTAGGCTCAATGTCCGAGCCAGGCCAACCGAGAGACACGAAACTGGCTGCCACAGTTTCGACAAGCAGCTCTCAGACAGGATTACACAACAGCTATCAGAAAGTACTTTCGCTGGCACTGACAGTGTGTGATCTCAGCCTGATCCAGACCACCTTTAGTTCTATCATCGTCATCTTCCAAATGGTCGATTATTGCATGGATTTAATCTATCTATCTATCTATCTATCTATCTATCTATCTATCTATCTATCTATCTGTCTGTCTGTCTGTCTGTCTGTCTGTCTGTCTGTCTGTCTGTCTGTCTGTCTGTCTGTCTGTCTGTCTGTCTGTCTGTTTGTTCCATACATGTTGAAGTAAAAATGTTACCCTAAACCAGTTCTTTTTTTAAATCTCAAATATATTTACATTTATATCAACTAAAAACTGAATTATTAAACTTTTAATTTGCGTATCCTCTAGGGCAGGGGTCTCAAACTCAGTTCCTAGGAGGCCACAGCCCTACACAGTTTAGTTCCAACCCTGCTTCAGCACACTTACCTGTAGGTTTCAAACAAACCTGAAGTAGTCAATTAGTATGATCAGGTGTGTTTAATTAGAGTTGGAACTAAACTGTTGACACCCCTGCTCAATGACAATAGTTGGCCGAGATATAATCTGGAATCTGAGGATTCCAAAAAATGTAAATATTGAAAAGATTGTCTTTAAAATTGTTTAAATTAAGTGCTTAGCAATGAACGTTAAACAAAAAATGAATTCTGATGTATTTACAGTAGAAAATTTACCAGAATATTATTGGAACATCATCTTTGTTTAATAATCTAATGATTTTTGCCATAAAATAAAGCCGATAATGGCCAAAAATATCCCCAAGCAACAGAAGACTGGATTTGTGGTCTTGGGTCATATGCTTGAATGTGTGTTTTTTTTTTTTTTTTTTTTACTTATTTACATTGTTTGTGTGAGCGCATGGCTCTCATGTGTTGGAATTAAATGCGTATTAAAATCTGATGCCAACTGTTACGGGGCCAACATGTGTGAGCATGGTCTGTTTTCCACAACCTTATTTTGATTAAATCAAGTTGTTTTTTTCACCCAGCCAGCCAATCAGATCTCTCGCCTTATGGGAACATACGAGCGACATACAGCTGCGCATCCCTGGGCGGCACAAACAAGTCCTATAAGGAATTAAACCAGATTTAATTTCAGTCTAAAACTGTAGGCTTAAGATTAGTTTAGCTCATCTCTTTGTCCTCTGTATCCTATGAGAAAAACAAGGATCTAGCGTGAGGTAAATATCCCATTTAGAAATATTAAAAACTCGTGTTGTTTTGATGATGTAATAAAAGGCCTGTGTGTATCAACTATTGCACACACTGAAAAACAAAAACATACTGGAAGACCAGAGGATGGAATCCTCTTAAAAACATGCAAGAATGAAAAAGAGTAAATAGAGAAATGTGTTTGTTTTGTTTTTCAGCACACTATTTAAAATTAATATTGATGTATAAATGAAATAAAAATATAAACCTATATTAGTTGTATATTTGTAATAACTCTAGAATATGATATATACAACCTAATACAAACATTCTTTGCTTTGCAGTTCTGGTTTTGTATTCTATCTGCAAAAGGCCTTACTCAAATAAATAAATAAAAAATGTAAAATAAATATGCCAGATATTGGTTGAAAGGCAACACTTTATAATTGACTGCTTGGATGTTTTGTGATGTGATCTCGGTGATCCAAAATGCTTGCCAGCAAGCCACAAACCACAGAGAGAAATAGAATTGAAATTCAGCTGTGTCTGACTATCATTTTCTAACTTAGATGTTGGAGCTGAGGGGAAGAGAGCGAGAGAGACAGACAGACTGAGGTCCCTTGGGTTCTGCATGAAGCATGTGTAGCGAGAGCATGTGCATACAGTTCAGAATATCAAATCTGATCTAATTAAAACCTTTGAACCATATGACACACAAAAATGAACAGCTGAAACATCCAGCGTGGTTTATTCGTTTGCCAACCAACGTGGTGCAATTATGCGGTCGCATTTGCTTCACTAAATAACCCTTTTCGATTATGTAATGTTTTAATTACAATTTTACACCGCCTATTTTATTTCCCATAGTCTTTTGGATGGATGTCAGGTCTGAAGAGGAGACAGCAGAGCGAGGGAGGGAGGGACGGACGGAGGAAGAGAGTTGAGGAGGAGGAGAAGGAGGAGGGTGCGTGCTGGAGATCTCGGAACGGAACAGACAGACAGGCGCGCGCGCGTGCGTGCGTGCGTGCGTGGCCGACGCGCGGGGAAGCTGACCGGACCCATGCGTGTCCCCCAGGTGACCTGCGTCTACGAGCACGGCCCGCGCGCTCCGGCTCATCTCATTGACGGCGTCACAATCAAGCTCAATGCGTTATAAACGCAACTGTATAGACGCCAATATTGCATGTTTAAAATATTACAAGAGCAATGAACTCATTGAACCCGAGCGCGTCTGTTCACCTCCCCGTACTATAGTTACTCGACGCTCTGAAAACGTTTCAAACCCATGAGGTATCCCCTTCAGCACAACGTGTCAAACACTAATATGTATCTGGCAGCCTTTTGTACGATTCAAGACACGCACAGAACATGCATATACAATCAGGTGGTAACTGTACCTTCCAGCCGGCTGAGCTATTGCTGTCTCCTTTATCCTTGAAATATGGCACAAATCGCACCATCCAGTCATAGATTTGCGATAAGGTGAGCCTTTTCTCTGGGGTGCTCTCAATGGCACGCGTGATCAGATCCGCGTAGGACTGGTTGCCCCACGCGTTCCGTCGCGACGACTTGGATTTGCGCAGCTGGCCGGCCACATCCAGCGCGGCGCCGGACATGCACGCTGGGGCTGCCGCTATAGGGGCAGGGGCGCCGGCTGGATGCTTGAACTCCGTCGGCGCCCCACCGCTCCGGCACGCCGGCACGTTGCGCGGCTCCACTTTCACAGGCAGCGCACGGCTCTCCTCCTCCGGACACGGCAGCGGCCAGGTGCACGACCTCGGTCGGCAGTGCGGCTCATAGTCGGCGTCCAGTTCAACCTGATGCGCGTCTATCCCGCTGCTCTCCATCATTAACATGCTGCTTTTGCGCGTCAAAAGGCAAGGTCAAGGGGGGAAAACAACAACAATGCGCCCTTAAATCCACTGATGATGGACTGTGTGTGATCTCTCAGTCTGTAGTCTTTTTACACCAAATGAGTAAAAGCAAAAGCACCGGGAGCCGTGAATAGACTGCTCATTCTTGTGTCTCTTGTCGCCTGTAATGTACTAAACACGCAAAAGCATCCAATGCATCACGATGTGCAACAGTCTGTCTTCCATATTACTGAACAATTCAGTCACACGCAAGCGGGTGTCCATAGGGCTGAGGTGCTGAAATCACACACCCATCACTGAAGCGTCTCGTGCATGCAAAGTCCCTTTAATCGCGCGCTCGCACCAACTGTTGATTGCTTTGACAGACGGTCTGACAGACACGCTGGGCAAAGCTTGTAAATCTATCTCATCAAGAAGGGCGAAATCAATTGACTTCCTCTGGAGTCTGGCCACAGTTTCCGTTTGTCTGGAGCTCTCCCGTCCCTTTTTTCTCTGCAGATTTGAAAGCGGTCTCTCACGCGAGCGCAGTCACTATTGCAATTGCTGATAGTAGACGCGGCGCGGGTGCCCTAAAAATAGGGTCGCGTGAATGGAGCGGCACAATTCTGCCGTTGAGCAATATTTTTCAAGGTTTTATTATAGTTGTTGTTATTATTATTTGCCTTAGATAAAATATTCAGACGAACATTCCTTCCACATCGGTTCACGCCTGTTTGCGGATGACTAGACGGGGCTGTAGCGGCGGATAAATGCTGCTATCAGATAATTGGACGGCGCTTGAATCAAGTCACTCCCTCCAGAACAGGTTTATCCGGGGGACGCGCATCTTCTACCACAAAACATTCATGCCTCTTTAGAAAGATTTACATGTGAAGGATTTGCGTCCAATCTTGAGGCAATTTGATCTTTAAAGTGAAGCAGCAATTATAAATTGCACTTGTAGACATATAATACTATTGTAGACTTTTATAACTCTGAGATGTTCATTTAAATTAATACAATTCGATAGAAAAACAAGTAAAAGTCACAAAATGTTCTAAATGGTAAAAACATCTTTAACTTGAATAACATCTATTTAATAGCCTATATTGTCTGTTTAGCTACAAACAATTAAATAAGCAATAGTCCAACAAATAACTAGGCTTTATGAATAGTTATGAATAAAGGTATGCATACTAATGAACTTAATATATTATATACATATCCAATACAATGTGATAAATACAATTGACATTTATCAATTGTGATATTGAAGTGAGTAAAAGTGATGGGATGGAGTGACGAGAGATATGTGCTCATCCCTTAGTTACAAAGAAAATTTATATATATATATATATATATATATATATATATATATATATATATATATATATATATATATATATATATTTTTTTTTTTTTTTTTTTTTTTCGGCTTAGTCCCTTTATTAATCCGGGATACTTATCCAGCATGTTTCATGCCCTTCCAGCTGCAACCCATCACTGGGAAACATCCATACATACCCATATATATATATATATATATATATATATATATATATATATATATATATATATATATATATATATATACACACACACACACACACACAGTACGTTTTCTTAATTGTTATGTTTAATAGTTTAATTTTACTTTAAAGGAAACTATTAACCATAAAAGATAAATTAATGAATCTACAAAAAAAGTGTCCTTGTTTCCAAGCAGCCAATATCATATATGTATTTATTATTTACTTCTTTTCAGTGTTCATATTTGGAAATGCAACCTGTTGCGTTGACAGGCAGGGGAATTTAAGCATGTGACCAAAGCGCGCATGTGAAATCCCCGCGCTCACACTGCGACCTGCACTGGCCATGCATACATTTAACAGGGTTTTCTGCCCACATGATGTTAGTTCCCATGAAATAAGTCGAGAGCAGCTATTCATGGATGCCTGTCAGTAGATAATCTCCACCCCAACATCATATTATTCATGAGAGACACACACCACAGCGCCAAAATTCCATTTTGCCAAACGTGCTTCGGGTGAGGAGGGGTGTATTTCTTTTGGAAATGATGGCTCTTGGCAAGCGTTTCTCTTGTCTATGAACAAGTGCGGTGGGCGGGACGCGAGTGAGTGTGACATTCGGTGTACAGCTCGTGTGTGACTCGCTGATAAATTGACCGAGGGGATTCCGCCCACGCCGCGAGCCAGAACGCGCGTATCAGATCCTATTGAATCTGACAGGAGGGAAGGGCCGACGGACACGCTCCGCCAATCAACGCCCTCCGCCAAAAGATTCTCTCCACTCATTGGTTGTTCCCTGGCACAGGTAGGCGGCAACAGTCTGAATGTATAAAAGCCGTAACCCCCTTTTCGGGTGGAAAATCCCCCAACGGTGACGTAACGATGGACCATTGACAGCTGGTCGTCAATGGCAACCTAATCCTCCAATGCTCTGTAGTGGAATGCTTTCATCATGATTAAATGCTGCTTTTACAACACAAAATGTGGAAAAGAGAGGGAGAGCAAGAGGTACACGCAGAGGAAGGTAGGGATAAGAGAGAGATGTTGTAAATGAGAACAAACAGAGGTTTAATTCACAACACATGGGCCTGTGGTTTTGGAAAGGAGATTTTTATGCACCACAATGAAGTTGTAACAGGAATGTGGTGTGACTCCTACAGCATGGAATGAAAACACTGCGTTTCAGCCAGTTTAACAGATTTAATGGTGTGCTCGTCTTTGCTGTGAAAGAGCCCTCGGCAAAAACATAAGAACATGATGTGATATTGAGGAGATTGGGGCTAGTTGTCACAGGGGCTACAAACCAGCTAGTGTCACCCATCACAGCTGTGGTGACGTATATACTGTAGGTTTAACACTTGGAAAAGCGCTTAAATAGCAATACGTTTGTGTGAATTCTGTCTACCAAACTGATATACAATCAGAAAAACTTTAGACACAATAATGATTCATTTCATGAAATTCTAGTTGGAGCAAACTGTCACTAGGCATAGTACTCTGACGGTATGTCAACCTTGGATAAAAATATCACGGTTTCACGGTATTGTGATTACTGCTCTAAAAATTATTATTTTTAAATGTCTGGGTATAAAACAACAGCTGTTTTCCCCTCTGAACACTATATATTTTATTTTGTGAAAAATGTAAATATTTTGGAACAGTAAACATGTCAGGCAAAATAATTTTAAATTAATCATAGACTTCTGCTGTCTTCATTACTTTGTAAATCACAGATAATGACATCTTAAGATATATTTTCTGCTAGAGACACTAAAAGTGTAAATAAAAAATTGTATACCTTAGGAACAGTATTACAGAAGATTTTGGTGGTTTTAAAACCTTGACTTTTCCAAACCGCTGTATACCTTGAAAATGGTTATTGTCCCATATTTTTAAATTAATGTTTACTTTTTTGTCTGTTAGAGGGTTAGTTTACCTGCCAAATGAAATCAATAGTTATTCACCAATATGTAATTTTAAACCCCTAAGACCTTCATCTGTATTTAGGAATTCACAAATTATTAGAGACCTCCCTCATCCTTCATACACAACAAGGCTCCCGAGACATTTAATGTCAAGAAAAATATTCTATGAAAATATATATGAATATGAAAATATTCTAAATAATTTACACTAAATAATAATATTTAAATAAATCTAAACATGAGTGTGAGTAATTAATACATTATTCTTTTTATACTTTTTTTATGAGGAGTGGAACAACTGTCATGCCAGCCACCTTTTAAGCTTTTTTGGTTCTGGAAGTATTTTTGCACGTGTGTCTATATAAACAGAAGATGTTGTACCTTAAAATTCCATTCATACAGTTTATATTTATTCTGTAAAGAACATACTTTTTAGTGATCCAAAAATATATATCAACGGTTTCTGTGATTGTGAATGAATAGTGGAAGAAAGTTGTTCCTCATACAACAGGATTTTTAGACTCTGTGTTTGATTTTCTTTTTTATATACATGATTATGCAGTCAAACTTTTGTATCAATGCAATATCACACTTGTAGCAGTGTGATACAGCTGTACATGGTTACTAGTGGGATACTAAGGCACTCGTGCCAACGCATGCCTTCCACCAGTGCAGATATACAGCCTCTGTTTAGACAGTTCTGTCTGGTTCTCAAATCTGATTGGCTGATAGCTGTACCATATTCTGCAATAACAGCACTCGTACAACCTCCTCACCCTTCTGTATTACTTTGCCCACATAGAGTGACAGCAGATCAATAAACTCACTACAGTTTGACAAATATTGCCGCTGTTAGACAAAATACTTTACTTTTGGGGCTTCTTTGGGCGAGATTTTAGTTGTTTAGATTGCAACTGCAGTTCATTTGTGTCTATTTTAAATATTTGTAATTTAGAGAAGATATACTGTGTTGGCATCTATCAGCCTATCAAGAGCATAGCAAAGAAAGTTGATGTTCCACCACAAGATGGTGACAAATACCACATAATAAATCCTTAGAAGAGAAAAACTCTGTGTAGTTTCAAACTACAGCTGATCAATCATTATTAAACAGGTAAGTGACTTTCTAAGTCAATCTCTTTCTTTTATATGCTGTGGTGCTGTATTTATATAGTCTGGTAGTGTTTGCTTTGCTTTGGCTTTTTCAGGATTAATTATTGTGATATGCCAATTGTAACAGAAAACCGGGAAATCTCTGTAGACTGATGGCATTTTATGCCTTTCAGCCTTAAAATCTTAAATCAGGCTAAATCACCTGTTTTGTCATCACTTTAGATATTACCCTAGAGAATCATTCAGTTACTAGCTCTAAAGTGTTGTTTGTGCAGTAGCAATGGTTTCTGCTGTTCTGACATCAGCTGCAGATGTGACTGAATGGCGGAAGGAAGTAGTTCCTCTTACTAAAGGATTTTTAGAATCTCATGTTTGACTATCTTTTTTATATACACAGTTATGTTGTCGAATTGTTGTATAGATGCAATATCACACTCGTAGCAGTGCGGTATGACGGTATATTGTCACTGGTGGGCTAAACAACCAAATTTGGGCTAAACAACCCAGTATTTTTTAAAGTCTACTTTTTGTTAAGAATTATCATTGATTATCACATAGTCTTAATTATTATATATTTTTTACTATATGGCAAAATTGTGTTTTAGGAACATCTGGAGACCAACTTTGTACTGCAAAATTGTTTTACTGCTTTGAAAACTAGTT